ACATTATCACGTACAAACAGCATGTAACAGCAGAATGTAACATCATCATATAACACCACCATGTAACATTAAAATGTAACATCCGCATGTGACATCCTCATGTAACATCATCATTCAACAACAACATTTAACATCAGTATGTAACATCATCATGTAACATCAACATGGAACATTAAAATGTAACATCAACATGTAACATCCTCATCTAACATCATCATGCAACAACATCATGTAACATCAGTATATATCATCATCATGTAACATCGACATATAACTTCAAAATATAACATCAACATGTAACATCAGAATGTTTCATCATCATGTTACATCAACATGTAACATCAAAATGTAACATCAACATGTAACATCCACAGGTAATATCATTATTCAACAACATCATGTAACATCAGTATGTAAAATCATCATGTAACATCGACATATAACATCAAAATATAACATCAACATGTAACAACCTCATATAACACATTCGCGTAACATCGGAATGTAACATTATCATGTAACATCAACATGTATCATCAAAATGTAACATCAACATGTAACATCCTCATGTAACATCATCATGCATCAATAGCATGTAACAACATCTTGCAACAAATTCGTGTAACATCAGAGTGTAACATTGTCATGGAACATCAATATGTTTCATCAAAAGGTAACATCAACATGTAACATACTCATGTAATATCAACATGTAACATCAGAAAGTAACATCATCACGTAATAACAGCATGTAACATCAGAATCTAATATCATAATGTAACACCAACGTGTAACATCATATTGTGACGTCAACCTGTAACATCCTCATGTAACATCATCATGCAACAACATCATATAACATCATCATGTATCATCATCATGTAACATCAACAAGTAACATCAAAATGTAACATCAACATTTAACATCAGAATGTAACATCATCATGTAACATCCTCATGTAACATCATCATGCAACAAATTCGTGTAACATCAACATGTAACATCAAAATATAACATCATCATTTAACATCAACATGTATCATCAAAATGTAACATCAACATGTAAAATCCTCATCTAACATCATCATGCAACAACATCATATAACATCATCATGTATCATCATCATGTAACATCAACAAGTAACATCAAAATGTAACATCATCATTTAACATCAGAATGTAACATCATCATGTAACATCCTCATGTAACATCATCATGCAACAAATTCGTGTAACATCAACATGTAACATCAAAATATAACATCATCATTTAACATCAACATGTATCATCAAAATGTAACATCAACATGTAAAATCCTCATCTAACATCTTCATGTAACAACATCATGTAACATCAGTATATATCATTGTTACGTCCAGTTTTTTGCTCGTTGATCTTATGAAGCACTGTTGTCGTCTATTGGTAATTCAAGGTCCCAAATTTCTATACCAAGAACGAAACTCCAAAGTAGATACCAAAGTTTATTCCAAATCACAAATTCCACCAAAATAATTTATTACAAATAGACGACCAATGTCGTTCTAACAACAATAATTATAATAATTACAGTTACCTTCTAATATATTATCTCTTGGAGCAAAAAACTGTAACGAACAACAAAGAGAAACGGGAGTCCAATATGTCCGCAAATAATAATTCAAACAAGTTCATAAGTTAAGTAAAACAAATGTACCCAAAAACAGTAAAATTAATGATATTTATACATGAAGGTTTTGATCAGCAAAATGTCTTCGTTTCTCCCGTAACAATCATCATCATGTAACATCAACATGTAACATCAGAAATTAACATCATCATGTCACAACAGCATGTAACATCAGAATATAACATCATAATGTTACACCAACATGTAACATCAAAATGTAACATCAAAATGTAACATCCTCATGTAACATCATCATGCAACAACATCATGTAACATCAGTATGTAAAATCATCATGTAACATCAACATGTAACATCAAAATGTAACATCAACATGAAACACTCTCATATAGCATATTCGCGAAACATCAGAATGTAACATTATCATGTAACATCAACATGTATCGTCAAAATGTAACATCAACATGTAACATCAAAATGTAACATCATCATGTAACATCCTCATGTAACATCATCATGTAACAAAATTATGTACCATCGTTATGTAACATCATCATGTAACAACAACATGTAACATCGAAATGTGACGTCAACATGTAACATCCTCATGTAACATCATCATGAAACAACAGCATGTAACAACATCTTGCAACAAATTCGTATAACATCAGAGTATAACATTATCATGTAACATCAACACGTATCATCAAAATGTAACATCAACATGTAACATACTCATGTAACATCAACATGTAACATCAGAAAGTAACATCATCATGTAACAACAGCATGTAACATCAGAATGTAACATCTTAATGTCACACCAACATGTAACATCAAAATGTAACATCAACATGTAACATCCTCATATAACATATTCGCGGAACATAAGAATGTAACATTATCATGTAACATCAACATGTATCGTCAAAATGTAACATCAACATGTAATATTAGAATGATACATCATCATGTAAGAACATCATGTAAAATCAGAATGTAACATCACCATGTAACACCAACATGTAACATCAAAATGTAACATCATCATGTAACATCCTCATGTAACATCATCATGTAACAAAATTATGTACCATCGTTATGTAATATCATCATGTAACATCAACATGTAACATCCAAATGTAACATCAACATGTAACATCCTCAGGTAATATCATCATGCAACAACAGCATGTAACAACATCTTGCAACAAATTCGTATAACATCAGAGTATAACATTATCATGTAACATCAACATGTATCATCAAAATGTAACATCAACATGTAACATACTCATGTAACATCAACAAGTAACACCAGAAAGTAACATCATCATGTAACAACAGCATGTAACATCAGAATGTAACATCATAATGTCACACCGACATGTAACATCAAAATGTAACATCAGCAAGTAACATCCAGATGTAACATCATCATGTAACAACCTCACGTAAAATCATCATGCAACAAATTGGTGTAACATCAATATGTAACATCAAAATGTAACATCATTATTTAACATCAAAATGTATCATCAAAATGTAATATACATGTAACATATTCATGTAATATCATAACGTAACAACAGCATGTAACATCAGAATATAACATCATAATGTCACACCAACATGTAACATCAAAATCTAACATTATCATGTAACATCATCATGTAACAACAACATGTAACATCATCATGCAACAAATTCGTGTAACATCAAAATGTCACATCAAAATTTAACACCAACATATATCATCAAATTGTAACATCAACATGTAACATACTCATTTAATATCATCACGTAACAACAGCATGTAACATCAGAATGTAACATCATCATGTAACAACAACATGTAACATCAAAATGTAACATCAACATGTAACATCCTCATGTAACACCGTCATGCAACAACATCATGTAACATCATCACGCAACAAATTCGTGTAACATCAACATGTAACATCAAAATGTAACATCAACATTTAAAATCAGATTGTAACATCATTATGTAACATCCTCATGTAACATCATCTTGCAACAAATTCGTTTAACATCAACATGTAACATCAAAATATAACATCATGATTTAACATCAAATTCCTTCATCAAAATATGACATCAACATGTAAGATACTCATGTAACATTATCACGTACAAACAGCATGTAACATCAGAATGTAACATCATCATGTAACCCCACCATGTAACATTAAAATGTAACATCAGCATGTGATATCCTCATGTAACATCATCATGCAACAACATCATTTAACATCAGTATGTAACATCATCATGTAACATCAACATGGAACATTACAATTTAACATCAACATGTAACAACCTCATCTAACATCATCATGCAACAACATCATGTAACATCAGTATATATCATCATCATGTAACATCAACATGTAACATCATCATGTAACATCAACATGTAACATCCTCATACAACATATTCGCGTAACATCAGAATGTAACATTATCATGTAACATCAACATGTATCATCAAAATGTAACATCAACATGTAACATCCTCATGTAACATCAACATGTAACATCAGAAAGTAACATCATCATGTAACAACAGCATGTTACATCAGAATGTAACATCATAATGTCACACCAACATGTAACATCCTCCTGTAAAATCATCATGCAACAACATCATGTAACATCAGTATGTAACATCATCAAGTAAGATCAACATTTATCATCAAAATGTAACATCTAAATGCAACATCCCCGTGTAACATCATCATGTAACATCAAAATGTAACATCAACATGTAACATCATCATGTAACATCCTCATGTAACATCATCATGCAACAACATCATGTAACATCAGCATGTAACATCATCATGTAACATCAACATGTAACATCAAAATGTAACATCAACATGTAACATCACAAAGTAACATCATCATGTAACACCACCATGTAACATCAAAATGTAACATCAGCATGTAAAATACTCATGCAAAAAATTCGTGTATCATCATCATGTAGCACACTTCACTAACATCATCATGAAAAAACAGCATGCAACATCATCATGCAACAAATTCCTGGAACATCAGTGTTTAACATTATCATGTAACATCAACATGTACCAACAAAATATAACATCAGCATGTAACATATTCATGTAACATCATCATGCAAGAACATCATGTAAAATTAGTATGTAGCATCATCATTTAAAATCAACATGTAATATCAACATTCAACATCATCATCTAACGTCCTTATGTAACATCATCATGCAACAAATTCGTGAACATCAGAATTTAACATCATCATGTAACACCACCATGTAACCTCAAAATGTAACATCAGCATGTAACATCCTCATGAATCATCATCATGCAACAACATCATGTAACATCATATGTAACATCATCATGTAACATCAACATGTATCATCAAAATGTAACATCAACATGTAACATACTCATCAATCATCATCATGTAACAACAGCATGTAACATCAGAATTTTACATCATCATGTCACAACAACATGTAACATGAAAATATATCATCAACATGTAAGATCCTCATGTAATATCATCATGCATCAACATCATGTAATATCAGTATATAACATCATCATGTATCATCAACATATAACAACAAAATGTAACATCAACATGTAAAATCCTCATGTAACACCATCATGCAACAAATTCGTGTAACATCAGAATGTAACATGTTCATGTAACATCAACATGTATCATCAAAATGTAACATCAACATGTAACATCCTCATGTAACATCATCATGTAACAATAGCATGTAACATCAGAATGTAACATCATCATGTAACAACAACATGTAACATCAAAATATAACATCAACATGTAACATCATCATGTAATCTCATCATGCAAATACATCATGTAACATTAGTATGAAACATCATCGTAAAACATCATAATGTAACATCAACATGTAACATCAAATGTAACATCATCATGCATCAAATTCGTGTAACATTAGAATATAACATTATCATGTAACATCAATATATATCGTCAAAATTTAACATCAACATGTAACATCCTCTTGTAACATCATCATGTATCAACAACATCTAACATCAAAATATAACATCAACAAGTAACATCCTCATGTACCATCATCATGCAACATCCTCATGTAACATCATCATGTAAAAACAGCATGTCACTTCAGAATGTAACATCATCATGTGACATGAACGTGTAACATCAAAATGTAACACCAACCTGTAACAACAGAATGATACATTATCATGTAACAGCAACATGTATCAAAAATTTAAACATCAAAATGTAACATCCTCATGTAACAACATTATGTAACAACAGCATGTAACACCTTCATTTAACATCAAAATGTAACATCAGCATGTAACATCCTCATGTAACATCATCATGCAACAACATCATGTAACATCATTATGTAACATCACCATGTAACATCAACATGTAACCTCAGAATGTAACATCATCATGTAACACCACCATGCAACATCAAAATGTAACAGCAAAATGTAACATCAACATTCAGCTTTCTCATGTAACAAATTCGTGTAACATCAGAATGTAACATATTCATGTAACAACAAAATGTATAACCAAAATGTAACATCAACATGTAACATGCTCATGTAACATCATCATGCAACAGGAGCATGTAACATCAATATGTAACATCATCATGTAACATCAACATGTAACATCAAAATGTAACATCAACATGTAACATCAACATGTAACATCAATATGTAACATCAACATGTAACCTCAGAATGTAACATCATCATGTAACACCACCATGCAACATCAAAATGTAACATCAACATGTAACATCCTCATGTATAATCATCATGCAAAAACATCATGTAACATCAATATGTAACATCATCATGTAACATCAACATGTAACATCAAAATGTAACATCAACATTCAGCTTTCTCATGTAACAAATTCGTGTAACATCAGAATGTAACATATTCATGTAACATCAAAATTTATAACCAAAATGTAACATCAACATGTAACATGCTCATGTAACATCATCGTGCAACAGGAGCATGTAACATCAATATGTAACATCATCATGTAACATCAACATGTAACATCGAAATGTAACATCAACATGTAACATCAACATGTAACATCAATATGTAACATCAACATGTAACCTCAGAATGTAACATCATCATGTAACACCACCATGCAACATCAAAATGTAACATCAACATGTAACATCCTCATGTATAATCATCATGCAAAAACATCATGTAACATCAATATGTAACATCATCATGTAACATCAACATGTAACATCAAAATGTAACATCAATATTCAGCATTCTCATGTAACAAATTCGTGTAACATCAGAATGTAACATTATCATGTAACATCAACATGTAACATCCTCATGTAACATCAACATGTAACATCAAAATGTAACATCAACATGTAACATCCTCATGTAACATCATCATGTAACAATAGCATGTAACAGCAGAATGTAACATCATCATGTAACAACAACATGTAACATCAAAATATAACATCAACATGTAACATCATCATGTAATCTCATCATGCAAATACATCATGTAACATTAGTATGAAACATCATCGTAAAACATCATAATGTATCATCAACGTGTAACATCAAAATGTAACACCAACCTGTAACAACAGAATGTTACATTATCATGTAACAGCAACATGTATCAAAAATTTAAACATCAAAATGTAACATCCTCATGTAACAACATTATGTAACAACAGCATGTAACACATTCATTTAACATCAAAATGTAACATCAGCATGTAACATCCTCATATAACATCATCATGCAACAACATCATGTAACATAATTAAGTAACATCACCATGTAACATCAACATGTAACATCGAAATGTAACATCAACATGTAACATCAACATGTAACATCAATATTTAACATCAACATGTAACATCAGAATGTAACATCATCATGTAACACCACCATGCAACATCGAAATGTAACATCAACATGTAACATCCTCATGTATCATCATCATGCAACAACATCATGTAACATCAATATGTAACATCATCATGTAACATCAAAATGTAACATCAAAATGTAACATCAACATTCAGCTTTCTCATGTAACAAATTCGTGTAACATCAGAATGTAACATTATCATGTAACATCAACATGTAACATCCTCATGTAACATCAACATGTAACATCAAAATGTAACATCAACATGTAACATCCTCATGTAACATCATCATGCAACAACATCATGTAACATCAGTATATAACATCATCGTGTAACATCAACATGTAACATCCTCATGTAACATCAACATGTAACATCACAAAGTAACATCAACATGTAACATCCTCATGTAACATCATCATGTAACAATAGCATGTAACAGCAGAATGTAACATCATCATGTAACAACAACATGTAACATCAAAATATAACATCAACATGTAACATCATCATGTAACATCATCATGTAACATCAACATGTAACATCAAAATGTAACATCAACATGTAACATCAACATGTAACATCAATATGTAACATCAACATGTAACCTCAGAATGTAACATCATCATGTAACACCACCATGCAACATCAAAATGTAACATCAACATGTAACATCCTCATGTATAATCATCATGCAAAAACATCATGTAACATCAATATGTAACATCATCATGTAACATCAACATGTAACATCAAAATGTAACATCAACATTCAGCTTTCTCATGTAACAAATTCGTGTAACATCAGAATGTAACATATTCATGTAACATCAAAATGTATAACCAAAATGTAACATCAACATGTAACATGCTCATGTAACATCATCATGCAACAGGAGCATGTAACATCAATATGTAACATCATCATGTAACATCAACATGTAACATCGAAATGTAACATCAACATGTAACATCAACATGTAACATCAATATGTAACATCAACATGTAACCTCAGAATGTAACATCATCATGTAACACCACCATGCAACATCAAAATGTAACATCAACATGTAACATCCTCATGTATAAACATCATGAAAAAACATCATGTAACATCAATATGTAACATCATCATGTAACATCAACATGTAACATCAAAATGTAACATCAATATTCAGCATTCTCATGTAACAAATTCGTGTAACATCAGAATGTAACATTATCATGTAACATCAACATGTAACATCCTCATGTAACATCAACATGTAACATCAAAATGTAACATCAACATGTAACATCCTCATGTAACATCATCATGTAACAATAGCATGTAACATCATAATGTAACATCATCATGTAACAACAACATGTAACATCAAAATGTAACACCAACCTGTAACAACAGAATGATACATTATCTTGTATCAGCAATATTTATCAAAAATTTAAACATCAAAATGTAACATCCTCATGTAACAACATTATGTAACAACAGCATGTAACACCTTCATTTAACATCAAAATGTAACATCAGCATGTAACATCCTCATGTAACATCATCATGCAACAACATCATGTAACATCATTATGTAACATCACCATGTAACATCAACATGTAACATCAAAATGTAACATCAACTTTCAGCATCCTCATGTAACAAATTCGTGTAACATCAGAATGTAACATATTCGTGTAACATCAAAATGTATCACCAAAATGTAACATCAACATGTAACATGCTCATGTAACATCATCATGCAACAGGAGCATGTAACATCAATATGTAACATCATCATGTAACATCAACATGTAACATCGAAATGTAACATCAACATGTAACATCAACATGTAACATCAATATGTAACATCAACATGTAACCTCAGAATGTAACACCATCATGTAACACCACCATGCAACATCAAAATGTAACATCAACATGTAACATCCTCATGTATCATCATCATGCAACAACATCATGTAACATCAATATGTAACATCATCATGTAACATCAACATGTAACATCAAAATGTAACATCAATATTCAGCATTCTCATGTAACAAATTCGTGTAATATCAGAATGTAACATTATCACGTAACATAACATGTAACATCCTCATGTAACATCAACATGCAACATGCTCATGTAACATCATCATGCAACAGGAGCATGTAACATCCTCGTGTAACATCATCATGCAACAACATCATGTAACATCAGTATCTAACATCATCATGTATTAACATCATGTAACATCAATATGTTACATCAACATGTAACATCAGAATGTAACATCATCATGTAACAACACCATGTAACATCAAAATGTAACATCAACATGTAAGATCAAAATGTAACATCATCATGCAACAACATCATGTAACATCAGTATATAACATCAAAATGTAACATCAACATGTAACATCAGAATGTAGCATCATCATGTAACATCACCATATGTAATATCATCATGTAAAAACAACATGTAACATCAAAATGTAACATCAACATGTAGCATCCTCCTGTAACAAATTAGTGTAACATCAGAATGTAACATTATCATGTAACATCAACATGTATCATCAAAGTGTAACATCAACATGTAACATCATCATGTAACGTCATCATGTAACAATAGCATGTAACATCAGAATGT